TCCTACTATCTCTCATCCAAGATGGTTGTCTTTTTTTTAAAATTCAGTTTGTTTTGTACCTAAGTAGGCACTGGAGAATAGAGACTTTGTATACTTTTCAATGTTCTCCTGTCCTTCTGTACTTGAGTACACGTGACAATAAAACTTAATTCTAATTCTAATTCACTGCTCGCCATGTTGCATGAGCGGTCAAACTAAATCAATACCACTCTTTGCTATTTTAGAAAGGTGGATCCTGATGACAGTCACCTTGTTAAAAGATATAGCTGGTAGAATTGCTGCCAACATCATCATTTTAAATCAGCGATGAAAGGGCTTGACTGTTCTAGTGTTCTCAAGGAGTGACTAGTGTTCAACTCTGACCACATCTGGAATACTGTCAACAGTGTTGGGACCCTTATCTAAGGAAAGATATACCAACATTGCAGGCAGTTCACTAGTCTGATACCAGTTATGGAGGGAGTGTCTTATGATGACAGGTTGAGTAAGTTGGACCTGTACTTGTTGCAATTTAGAAGAATGATAGTGACCTTATTGAAACATCCAGATCTGATGGAGAAAGGTTATTTTCCCTTGTTGAAGAGTCTAGGACCAGAGGATATAATCTCAGAATAAGGGGTTTCACATTCAAGACAGAGATGAGGAGGAATTTCTCTCTTAGAGAGCAATGAATCTGCGAAATTCTTTACCTCAGAGAGCTGTCAAAGCTGTATTGTTAAGTATGTTTAAGGCTGAGACAGGCAGATTTTTAATTGGTAAGGGAATCAAGGGTTACAGTGAAAAGGCAGGAAAGTGGAGTTGAGGATTATTAGAGATAACAAGGTGTAGAGCTGAATGAACACAGCAGGCCAAGCAGCATCAGAGGAGCAGAAAAGCTACGCTGTGTTCATTCAGCTCTACACCTCGTAATCTCAGATTCTCCAGCATCTGCAGTTCCTACTATCTTTGAGGATTATTAGCTCAGCCATGATCTTATTGAATAGTGGGGCAGACCCAACAGGCTGAATGGCCATCTTCTGTCCCTACGTCTCATGGTCCTGAGGAAATCCATTTGGAAGTTTGTCTGAAACAATATGTAGTTTATTGCAGAATAGCAATCAAGCTCAAGATGGGAATGATAGACATTTTTACTGAGGCTAAATGGGATACATAGATGGCAGGACCATCTCCTTCAAGATCCAGAGCTGTTCTCCCACACAAGTCCATATGGCATTGTTATATTGGGTTAGTACTTCACTCCCTTGTATTAACCCTTTCAGAGCCTAAAACTTTATGCAACACTTGCTTCTAAAGCACTTGCCTCATCACTTGTGTTCACTATTCTCTTCACCCACTTTATCAAAGCCTGTCAGCCTGGTTTTTCCTTCTCAGCTTTACTCTCCTCCCCCTGAAAACGCAGACTTACCTCAATGTCCAGCACCAGTGACTATCTCCATTGGGAAATTCATGCAGTCCCAGCAGTAGTCACTGCTCCCGGTGGCGCTGCTGGGACCAGAGAGCTGCCAACCAATTTGATAGAGATAACTCAGTGTGGAGCTGGAGGAACACAGCAGACCAGGCAGCATCAGAGGAGCAGGAAAGTTGGTGTTGCGGCTCGGTACCCTTCTTCAGAAATGGGAAGGGGGAAGGAAGCTCTGAAATAAATAGAGAGGAAGGGTGATGTTGGGGAAGGTAGATGGGATGGTGATAGGTGAGTGCAGGGGTGGGGATTGGTCAGTGGGGTGGGAAGGGCAGCTAGGTGGGAGAAAAGATAGACAGGTTGTGTCAGGTCAAGGAGGTGGGGATGAGAGGGAGGGTGGACATGGGATGAAGCCTGGGGGTGGGGAGATTCTAAAACTGGTGAAATCCACGTTTAGGCCATCGGGCTGTCGGTTCCCGAGGAGGAATATGAGGTGCTGCTCCTCCAGTTTGCGGGTGGTGTCATTGTGACACTGGAAGAGGTCCAGGATGGACATGTCACCCAGGGACTGGGAAGGTGAGTTAAAATGGTTCGTGACTGGAAGGTGTTGTCGTTTGTCACGTACAGAGTCCAGATGCTCTACAAAACAGTCTCTGAGTCTCCACTTCGTCTCACCAATGTAAAGGAGGCCACATCAGGTGCAATGGATTTAACAAACCAAGTTGACAGATGTGCAGGTGAGCCCCTATCTAATGTGAAAGTTTCAGAGATAGTAGGCCTTGAATGGAGGTGACGGGGCAGGTGTAGGGGCAGGTCTAGCACTTCCTGCAGTTGCAGGGAAAGGTGCGGGGGGAGGTTAGTAGGGAGCGTGGAAACGGGACTTGATTACGAGCTGGGGACAGAAGACCCTGTTTGAGCAGTCTGCTGACCATCACATTGCTGCGCCGGAACTTGCTAGAGCAGGGTGCATTCACTCCTGGCATTTAAACCACAGGGTTTCATGAAATGTGAAAGATAATGGTTTCTTACCATTCTCCGGAAAGTGTTCGGATTTTAACGACATCTTGGTCTGTCACAGAAAGTTAATTTTCATGAGAGATTTGAGAGATATGACTAATATTTCTACAGTAAACTGCACCCATCAGACTCAGGTTATCTGTTGTTAACAGCAACAGTCTTTCCATATCTTACTCATTTCCCAATCATAATTAAGAAGTAAGGCTTGCCTCTAACAACGCTAAACATTTGTATAATAGACAATTAGCCCTAGATGTCACGCTCCAGTTGCTCTCTTTCCCTGTGGGTTTCTGTTCGATAAGTGCCAGCAAGACAGTTGTCCACACCTGTCTCTTCCAAGTTAGCATGCTCCCTTTATAGAAGGCTTTCCCTCCTCACTTAGCCAAACTGCCTGCTTCCTCGGAGTTGCTGCACAATCAGGCAATGTTTCCACAGTGACAACTGCAGGACTATTTATATTCTACCGAGGAATTCTTCAGAAGTGATTTGTATGTCTACAGCAAGATCTTTTTATACTCATGAATGAAGAGCTGTTGCAGATTATACCGGCAGAGGGAACCCTTCAGCTCACCTCAAAATGAGTGGCTTCTCACAGGAGCAGTGATATTATTAGTGGTCCCGACTGGGTGTGGTTAGAGATGAATAACGATGGAAAAGGCTGTCTTGTGCAACGAATGTCTGTGGATCCCCTGCTATAATCTTTGGCTTCTCAAGGCTTAGAATAAGTATGACAATGTGCAGAGGATTTCCAGTAGTAATGAAGTGGTTAAAATTGTCTTGTAATCCGATCGGTGCTGCAATTTCTGTTCTGGAGCTGGTTGGCGTGATCTCACGACTGGATATCTAATTGGGCTGAGGTTACTTGGCAAGAAGCCCACTACCAACGGAATGAGAATATTTCCTTGTGTTCTAATTTGTTTAAGCATTAATGTGATGTACTTACATTGACAAGGAAATTGGACATTTAAATTGCTCTTGTACATTGTTACGGTACGAATTGAAAAGAAATCGAGATGAAAATGCCGTCGAGGGAACCAGCTTTGCAGTAATTTTTGAAGCTTTTGCACAGGTGTCTGGGTACTTCTGGCAGTTCTGAGCTGACCCTGACTTTGGGAGGAAGAATATGTTCGTGTGATTTCCTTGAAACATATCCTTTGGAATGGAGAATGATCCATCATTACTTCTTTCAGAATTCAGGTCTTCCATCCACTTCAAGTGACAGGTCAGTGCCAATTCAAAATGTCTTTGTTGACACTTCAGAAATGTCCTGTCTGTGTTGTCTAATCCAATGCACTGCAGCCAAGATTGCATCTGTAATGAGGAAATTCTGAAATAATTTGTTGAATTCATTGATCTACAGTAAATGTGTAACAAGTGGAATGTTGCTGCAATTTCATTTAAGACAGACGGTTCAAACCTTTAGTGTGCAAAGGGAAATGTATTGTAAATACACGAATGAGATTTTATTATTTCTTTATACTATACCGTATAAACAGTGTTATTTCCATCTTCTGTGAGGTGCAGTGATAAGATAGTCAACCTATGATTTTCGTTCAAATGTAAAATAGCGAAGTGGAAAGCAAGTATTTCCTATAGAGAGGTGAGGGGAGGAAGGTGAGAATTCCCTTTTTATTACAGTATCATAGCATCTGGATTATGGTTGCTGATTCCAGTACATTTATAAAATAGAGCCAATACTATCATTTCATTGTCTAATTCGATTAGCTAAATAATAACGATGAGGGTATATAGAAGGAAATATATTTCTGTCAGATATTTCCTTTTTTTTTTCTGATGAAATCTTTAACACTCATCAAGGTAGGAGATACTGATGCTGGAGCAGTGAGCATTTTTCACTTTCCTTGCACCTCTCATACACCAAGGGCTATAATTCTGCTGCCATTTGTACCAGAATTGCCAGCTCAAAACAACATTACTTACATTGTCAGGTTATACTGACTGCATGTTCTAAATGCCACAACAGTCTGTAATGCTAGGAGCAATATTCCCTAAGGTAACCACATAATACACAGCAATGAAAATCTGAACATCACCTACTAATTACAAGGAGCAGCCAATTGTGTTGCTTCCAATTTCAAAGAGAGCCAAAGTTCAGTTAGTCTAGTCAGTACAGTTCACTATGGCAAGTATGTTGTATCATCAGAATCATTCCAAGGTAGACTAAGTTGACATATAAATATAAATGGGTTAAAGTACTGTGTTATTGACATGAGGTGGTTTCTGGGAGCTGTATTGTCATTTCAGGTTAAATTAGACTTGACCCAACTTTAATCCACCATAGTTTATGTAGACATCACTGCTTCCAGCACATTGATGACTAAGACAATATCTACAGGTCTAAACGTTCTCCAAATCATGATTCTCTACACATGGGTTCAATAGTAAAGTTAACAAAGCTTTATTTTTCTCCGAACTTAAATTCAAAAGAAGCTCGAGGTAAAACTTTCCATTTCCCTTATGACTTTTGCTTATTGCCTCTCAGTGTGTGATTAGTGGCAATTGTTATTAGATTTTGTGCATTGGATTTAATTCAGTTGAGATTGAGATAAAAATGCTCATAAATATTAAATATAATACCCTCACCTCTAACACAGAGAAGAGACATTGCTCCACCTTGGTTCACGTTTAAACCTAGGTCCTATAGGCTTTGAGGTGATCTTCTAAATTCTGAGCTGCCCAATTCTGTTCATAATCAATGACAACAGAAGTCATTAATCTTTTAGATGGAAATTCTCACAAGGTATAAGCATTGGAATATAACAGCTTTTGGAATTTCATTATAATTAAAACAGTTTATATAAAGAGATGAATTATTACTGTAACCTATTCAAGAGGTAAGGATTGATTATAAGTGTAAAAGCTTGAGACTGCACCACTTGTAGTAAACTGAGCCAAAGACATTTATTATAAATTGTAATAATAATTTTTTCCTCCTGACCTACTCAGTAAAGATGGTCATCACTGTGGAAATGAGTCATATAAACCAGAAGGTCCAACTTTCGATTACCAATTTATGTTGGAGTTAATGTCATCTGGAAAATCACTTCATGCACTCAGATCCAGTACCCGCGCACAATCAAAGAAAGATGATTAGCTAGAATTCCTATTCCTGGTTTATATCCACTGCATCCCATTGGAAAGGAGAGTGACTACTTGGGTTGAGTGCCAGATAGTTGCTGACACTATTACAAATAAAATGGAGATTTCCCATGTTTCACACATGATGCAAATTCAGGAGGCTGCATTCTGGAGGTGTATAATTTCCTGATTATGTCCTCTGGGCTTTAGAATTCTGTCCTGGAAGCAGAATTTTGGGAAGCTCAGTATCTCAGCCTTTAGTTTTGAAGAGTACGACTTCTTATGTGTGGTGATCTGTGTGGAGAACTTATGAAATAGAAGCAGGGTTAAGCCATCTGACTATTCAAGTCATGCAACAAGATTAATGCTGATCTAATTGTGGCCTTAACTCCACTTTCCTGTGAGCTCCTTTGACTACCTGTTCGATCAAAATCTAACACAATCTTGGATACATTCAATGGCCTCCACTACTCACTGTGGAAGAGAATCCCAGAGACAAATAACATTCAGTTGAAGATACTCCTCCACATCGAGAAGATGCTTTATTTTGAAGCTATTTCTGGATTCATTTGGATGGGGAAATGTTCTCTTCATATCTACTGAAGTCCCCTCAGAATTTGTTCCACGAAGATCACCTTCCATTCTGTAGAACTCCAATAAATTTATGCCCTAATAGCTCAATTTTGAAACAACCCCTTCATTCCACGAATAAATTTGGAGAATCTTCTCTGAACTTCCTCAAATGAAAGTATATCCTTCCTCAAATAAGGAGATCAAACCTGTATGTAATTCTTCACTATAAGTACGTTCTCATCCATACCCTGTACAGTTGCAGCAAGATCTCTCCATCTTCATACTACATCCTCCTTGCAATAAAGGCCAGCATTCCACTTGCCTTCCTAAATCTTAGCCGTATTTGCTGCTGGTTTTTTGTGACTCAAGTAGAAGGACACCCAGATTCCTTTGTAGTGTACATTCTGCAGTCTCTCTTAATTTAAGTTATATTCTTTTTTTTATTCTTCCCACCAAAGTGAATAGCCCCATATTTTCTCACATTTTACTTCACCTGTCAAATTGGTGCCAGTTCATTCACTTTATTTATATCTCTTTGCAGACACTTTATGACCTCCTGTCAATTTGCTTTCCTACCTAACTTTGTATCATCAGCATTAATACTGGCGATAATCTTTTTGATCAAATGGGCTCTTTTTATGCTATAATTTGTATGTAGTGTTATATCTCAGGACGAATAAATCTGTCCTTTAGAAGAGGGAAATTGGCAGTTATTTAGAAAGCAATTTGCTGATTTATGGTATGTTAATGGTTTTCTGCATTTCTTGTGTTTCCTTATGAGGGTATTATGGCATAGTAATTTTGTTGCTGCACTAGTAATCATAGAACTCAGCATTTCTGATGAGGAAAAATAAGTCACAACCTTTTCACAGTACTTGAGAAATTTGAATAAGTGAATGTGGATTTTCGAAAATGCTACCATTAGTTGTGGTGACCAGGAAACAACTGGATTGCTGTAAAAACACATCAAATTCACAAATACACTTGAAGGAAAGGTATCCGCAGACCTTATGCGTTATTGTCTGCATGTGATTCCAGAGCCACAGATATATAGGTAACATTTGACTGTAGTATGAAATGGCCTAGCTAATCAGCCAGTTACATTAAACAAGTTTATAGTGATTAAAGAAAATGTCTGAACTCCAGGTGCTCAGTAGGCATTAGGGTTGAGCAATAAATACTGTAAATCAATAGTAAAAAAGCTAAAGCACAGCAAAGAAATAAGTTTTATGAACTAAAAAACTCAGTTCCTAATAACAGTGTGAACGGATTCATAACAAATGATCAATGTCATTTTTAATGCTTGAGAAATGAATTGAACTTTTGCTCTGTTTAATTTTCAGAGTGGTCGTATTTTGATGAGATGGTATTGTGGGAGTAGAATGGATGATCTAGCCTTGCTGGACCTGCTGGAATGCCCTGTATGCTTTGAAAGGCTAGATGCTACTGCTAAAGTATTGCCATGCCAGCACACATTTTGTAAACCATGTCTCCAGAGAATATTTAATGCCAGGAAGGAGCTCCTCTGCCCAGAATGCAGGACTCCAGTGGCATGCGGCATTGAAGAGCTGCCAGTCAACTTGTTGTTGGTTCGCCTGCTGGATGGCATTAAGTATGGGCAGAGCAATGTCAGGATCATTCCTGATCGATTGCCTCAGGCACCCTCAAATCAGGAACATGGGCAAAGGAGCACAGATACAAGAAGTTTGCAAGCTAGTGTGGTGAACACAGCCAAGAGCCCCATAGAGAAGGTAATGATTGAGCCATTTTATTCTTATCATGCAGGGTGAAGAGAAATCATTTTTAGAGGCAAGCATATAGAAAATATTCTGATTGAACCTGTAGGGATGAAACTAGGCTGGTTGAAGTAGAAATTTGGATAAGTCAGTAAACAAAGTGGATAGAATTATATAGAATCTCAAGCATTTCATGCCTTTGTAATGAAACTGTTCCTTTGTAATACCTAGGTGGCCTAGAGATGGCCTTATTTTATTTGCCGAACAGAAGGTTTTGCTTAATAAAAATACATTTGGAAGCCTCATGTTCTAAATCAAAAGGAAGACATTTCAATCAGAACAGCCACCTGGTCTTGCAAACACAAGAAGTTAGCCTTCCTCACTTTCTCTCTGACCTGTCATAGAAAGATAATGGGTAGAAGTCCCCTAGTAGACAATAACAGATTTATTATTACACAAATGGAAGCCTGATGAATGTTCATAATGTATCATTATTGTTTGAGTGCTTTAAGTTCGAAAGTAGAGGAAAATGGATTTTTTGTTTTCAGTTCAATGAAGACATAAGTTAATTTTTAAAAGGTCATAAAGTAAATTTTTAACAGTGATTGTTTTTTAAAAAAAAGTAATATTTTCATAAAACATGCAACTTTAGAAACATGAGCAGCAAACCACCTAGGGAGGTAATTGCTTGACTGTTTACTGACCTGAGTTTTATGACCCCGAGAGAGAGAAAGAAAAGGAGAGTTCATTCAGATATAAACAAGTTCATTTAGAATGAAGAGGTCCTTAAGAACAGAGTTGTTGTTACTAGTAGTCTAAGCAGTAAGGACTGGATAAATAAGAAAGCCAGAAAGTAAGGCTGTAGACGCGTCAGGGGAAAAGACATCGTACACGGCTGATGAAGATATGAAGTTATGATTCCTTTTTAAGCATTAAGTGAGTTGAGATAGCAGCTTGTTTCAAGATCTCAGGAAAAAAAATTAGAGAACATAGCATCAGGTGAATGCAGAAATATGCTGAAAGGGAACCTATTAAAGCTGTGCCAGGTGAGTAAAAAGCTAGCATGAAGACAGAGGTACCTCTTCACAGAGGTTTCAGTATCTGTCATACCGTTGTTCGGGAAAAGGGATTGAATCTTTCTTTATAATATTTGTAATGAGACCATATCAAAAAGTTCTTGTATATCATAACATAGTTTATCTTTTGTGTAATACATTTTATGTTAATTTGCGCAAAGTAGATTGTGGCCTTTTGTGAATATGTTTAGCAACTGATTTCTGCAGCCAACAAAAATGTTAGAAAAAAGAATATATTTATTGGTCTAGTGTGACTTTGGGACCTAACCTATCCAGTATTGCCATCAACTGGGATCAATTGCTGATTACCGTCTACCACCCTTTCTGATGAACACCACTTGGAGGATCACAAGGCCCCAGAATGTACTCTGGATGAGGGACTTAAATGTCCATCACAAAGTGTGTCTCAGCAGCACTAATACTAACCGAGCTGATCGAGTCGTAAAAGCTAGAGCTGCTGGACTGTTCCTGTGGCAGGTGCCAAAAGAACCAACAAAGGGAAAAGAAATGACCTCATCATCATCAAAGGGAGCTAGATATATATTTGAAAGTGATGAATTTAGAGGTTACCAGGATAGGGCTGGAGATTGGGTCTAGCTAGTTAGCTCTCTTAGGAGCTGATAGAGACACAATTGGTCAAATGGCCTCATTATGTCCTGTAAAATTCTATGATTCTAACAGGAAGTTGCCTCCTGCACGTACATTTTTCCATGACAGTAGCAAGTGAAATCGCCATTATATGGTACTTGTGCAGGTAAAGTTCCATCTCCATTTTGGGGATACTCACTATTGTGTTTTGTGGCTGTAATACTGTGCTAAATGGGACAGATTGCAAACAGATCTAGCAACACAAGACAGGGTATCCAAGAGACACTGTGGACCATCAACATCAGCAGTATTTTAGCTTATGAACCAGCATATACTCCAATATCATCAAGCCAGGGGGTCAACCCTGATTTAATGAAGAGTGTAGGAGGACATGCCAGAAGTACCACAAGCCATACATTAAAATGAGGCGTCCATCTGGTGAAGCTACAGCACAGGACTACCTGCATGTCAAACAGCATAAGCAGCAAGTGTTTGACAGAGCTAAATGATTCCACAACCAACGGATCAGATCTAAACTCTGAACTTTTGCCACATGCAGTCATGAATGGTGATGGACAATTAAACTCACTGAGGAGGAGCCTCTTCATATATCCCCATCCTCAATAATGGGGAGCCCAGCGAATCAATGCAAAAGATATGGTGGAAGCATTTACAACAATAAACTGATTGACAAACAGGAACAGATATTTGGGCCAGACATGAGTGGGCTTTTGGGGAAGCTTTCTCCTGTAAAAAGTGAAATTCTGTGACGTGTAGGCAATAATATTCCTTGGAGATCATATTTGGGGTATTCCTGCGACTGACCTAGAAGGGAAAGATGTCCACTTACACTGGGGAGTCTCTTTGTTGCCTATTTCTATCTGAGTGGAAAGCCGTAACCCATGCATACACTATGATATAACTGTGTCTGATATGCCTAAATTAATACAATTCCTCATTGATTCAATTGAGTTCCTCAGCTCCTGAACTGCAGTAAGGAGTTAAAAAAGATAGCCAGTACAATTCCATTGGAAAAATCACCATCTGCACTATGCTGACTTGGAAATAAATCACTATTCCTTCAATGTTGTTAAATCAGAATCCTGGAACTGCCTCCTTAATGGCATTGAAAGTCTACCTATGGTAGGATTTCAGAGCTCAGATCTGATCTACCACTGCCAAAAAGAGGTGGTCAAATAGGCAGCTCAGCTCCACCTTTTTAAGGACAATTAGGCACAGACAATAAATGCCGACCCAGTTACAAAGCCCACATCCCATGATTAAATTTTAAAAATGGGTCAAGGCTGAATTCCCTGCCCAGTGAAACAGTTGAGGCTACCTTGTTGAATGTTTTTAAGGCAAAGCTAGATAGATTTTTGAACAGTAAAGGAACTAAGCATTTTGATGAGCAGGCGGGTAAGTGGGACAGAGTCCACGAAAAGATCAGCCATGATCTTGTGGAATGGCCGAGCGGGTTTGAGGGGCCAGCTGGACTACTCCTGCTCCTATTTTTTATGTTCTTATAACGATATTTTAAGGTCCCCTGATCTTCCACCCAAACCCCTTTATCCTGCTCTGTGAGGGTAGAATAAATTCTAATCTGCACTAACTGAATCAAAGGGATCTTTTTAATGCTTGTTGCCATTTTGAAGACACCAGTAAACATTCAAATCATTTTGCCGTCCATCTGATTCAAGTGTTCTGCTATCATGTCTGTTATTTGTACCATGTTGCCTAGGAAACCTCCTTGAGACTATGTGGTTTGCACAACACACTGTTCATGTCCAAACAGTATCCACATGGGTCTTGCATCAGTGCAACGGCCCTTTTACACTCTGTGATTAAATGGATCAATGGCACAGAACAAGCCTACTCAAAAAGCTCTTCACCTTCCTGCATACATTATTTGTGTACTGAGAAATCAAACTGAACCAGGTTTACAAAAGCTTAGCTCAATAAATTTACTATCAATGCTTAAGACCCTCAACAACAAGAGGAATTGTATTGTTAAGATTTAGTTCCAGGACAGCAAAAGACCAAGCCACGTTAGAAACATTTCTTGTCAGTAGAAACATGTGAGGAGTTTGACACTGTGTCACAGGCAGTGATGTTTAAAATGAGGCAACCAGCCTGTTTTTTTTTTTATATTGAGACAAGAGCAAGATGTTATTTGTAAAAAAATGAAAGCTTTCCACTCTCTGTTGTAATTAAGGATTGTGTCAGCCCTAATTGAAGGCTCCATTTGTAATGAGAATTCTAAGTAAAATTCAATAGTCTGCACCACTCTTGCTGTGTCAATACCCGCAAGGCATGAAGTACCATGGTTATGCAGCTGTCATTTTCAGTATTAATTATTCTTGAATTGCCAGCCAGCACCGAGGTGCCAGCTAGCTTCACTATGCCAACTACCCTCATTTACCAAATGTACATATTGTGTTAGCTATCTCTTCAGGTCAAACCAGTATATTACCCACATACTTCCCAGCACTAACTGCTGTGAAGTATCCATATGCATTAATTATCCTGACTGTGCTAATTAATCATACAGATTACCCTTACAGCAATAATTACCCTTCGTGTGCCAGGTATTTTCAGAGTTACCATGTTCTTAACAAGACCTTTACTTGGTTAGGAGTGGTCTCACCTCCGACAGAAGGTAATTGGTCAAGTTCCAGTTCGACCTTGAATAACTGATCAAGAAAACCTCTCCGACAGCGGTATTCAGGTAGTACAGATTTGAATTGCCATCCTACAGCTAAGAAGTTAAACCAAGGTTATCTCAGCCTATCCTAATGGAGGGCAGTGTCACAGAAAATCAGGCAATGTATGATCTAAAACTTTGTTAAGGTCAACTAACAAGACCTCGGGGTCATGATGTATGATTAACCTGTGCCTGGTCAGGGTGGCACAGACAGCAGGTATATTTTATACTGCTTGCTTATCTCAAAGATTTAAATATGCAGCCCTGCACTAAGTACACTACTGGCTGACTACACACTCAGCAAGCAGTCCAGGAGGAACATGCGCAGTAAAAGCCTCAGCTAGTCTGTACTTAAGGTCATATGGTAGCACAGAACTTAAGCATTGCTGACAAAAAAAATATGCGTTTCGTCAAAGATTTTGACTTGCACCTATGAGGACAATTCACAACAAAGACTAATGTAAAGGGAAAGTGGCAGTTTTCTGACAGATAACTGTCAAGCTTTGTTTAAATTTAAACCAAGCACATTGAGAGCCAGAGAGTTTTTACATTATAGAAAGAGGCCCTTTAGCCTATTGTGTCCATGCTGATCATCAAATGTCCTTCAGCTCTCATCCCATTTCCCAGAACTTAGCCCATATCATGTATTC